CTGGTATGCAAAGTATGTTTTCCGTTTTTGTTGCTTCCGATAGCGGCAGAGCTTAAGAATTCATAATAATGACTTCCATACCCTGATTTTTCGATCAGCTGTTTTTTCACCGGCACGTTCCGGAGTATTACTTTTCGAATGTAACAAAAACCTTTCTTCAACGACAAGATTTTTTGTTTTTGCACTTTAATTTTGCTGCGATTTGTTTTTTTTTTTTTTTTAGCGCATGAAGTAATCACCAAGAAAAGTGCTATTGAGTGCGAAATTGCTACCGCTTCACTAAGCGATGGGACTGCTCTGGGCAGTCAAAGCATTTTGGAACCAGGATTTCGTTTGGGTGAAAGCGATACGCTGTTGCGTTACGTCAATCAGTACAGAGTAAATGAATATGCTAAAAATCCGACCCAGAGAACCCGAGAAAAGGACAAAAGGAAATACATGTGTGGAAGATTTTCGCTTATGGATGAAAAAGGATTCGAGGTGATTTTGTCTGTTTTTACGTATTTGTGAGCGAGTGACTCTTTTTACAAGTTGAAGACTGAAAGGAAAAATTCTGCATTTTCAGTGGTCACAAGCGAAAGGGCGCAGTATTGCTGGTTCTCCAGATCAAGTTGGGGCTGTTATCCAGGACACCTTGGAAAGTTTCGCCCAAAAAATACCGTCAGTTTTGATGCATCGGTTGTGGAGGCGCGATGGCCTGGACAATTTTAAGAAGGTAATTTTTTGTAGCGATGTGGTGGATCATTAGTTTTCGTTTTGAGTTCCTTTCACTCCCTTGCCATTTGCATCACGTTGTTCCGTGTCTTTTTCGCCTAATTGCTTGAAAATAGTATTTTCAGGGTCTAAATGCACCACCGTCGGTTGAATTACTGAGAGATTTGCTGCTGCGCTTTGAGTGTGCGATTCGACGACCGGTTTTTCATAATGTTTGGTGGAGCTCATTGGGACACACGCGGTTGATGCGTATCACTGTTGAGGATCGTGAAAGGCGCCAGTATTATGAGGCGAAAAAGAAGAAGCTGGAAAGAGTAAGTTAGCAGTTTAATGCACGCCTAAACTGATGTCTGTTCTCACATCACTTGTAATAAATTCAAACATTGTACTTTCGGTTTTTACAGTTTTGGCAGAAAATCGCCTCATTCTTGCCCAGTATTCGCACATTTATGTTCACTCGTCTGAGTAATTGAGGCTTTTTGAATAACTCGGAAAGCTTAAGGTTGTCTTGGAGGCTTATTTAAGGTAGTGTATTTGACTATTGAGGTCGACTTGAACCGTTCGCTTCTTGTTTCATTATCATTTTTTTTTTTCAAGAAAGGGACTGTCGACGCTCCTGATAGGAGCATTTGCTTCTGGCATGGCCCTGTCACACACACCATGCTAAAGTACCTCTATAATGCATACATTCTGGATAGATTTCATTCAGCAAAAATTTGTGCTGTTGAAATCCTGAATTCCTATGTCTCCGAAAATTC